ATGGGGAATTTGGGACTCACTCATGGAGCCCCAGGATGTTCCTGTTGGAAGGTACCTTGGAGGCATCCAGGCTAGTTGCTTAACTTTACAGGAAGAAAGCTGAGGTTCAGAGAGCCTGCCTATAAAGTCAGTGGCAGAGCCAGACTAAATTCCCATTGCCCTTCAAGTCTTGACCCCATAGACACTCTTTATGATGGGAGAGGGAGGTAGGGAAAAAAATATCTTTTCCTGTGATGAAAGACTAGGAAAGATATTCTTCCTCAACCATAGATTTTTAGAGCTACCTAGTGCCTAAGATTCTCAGGAAATATGGGGCTGTGGATCAGAAGAGCTGGTTTTAAGTCCTTCTTTGGGCACTTAACAATTGTGTAACCTTGGCCAAGGAGGGTCTTCTGTCTGAGCCCTCTCTGGGTTTCCTCTTACATGCTCTCACAATGGCACCAGGACCAGCTCTCTAGGACATTCACTGGGGTGGGGGTGGGGTCTGGTCTATGCTCCTTCTTTTTAACTAATACTGCTTACCTGGGCTTACAGAAGATGAGTGTCTCTGACTTACTTTGGTATGGCCTCTGGAGCTTCTATTCCACTTGGAAATTTTGGCAGTGCCCCTCCAACCTCCATACAGGGAGCTATAACCCTTCCTAGGTTTCTGGTTCTGGCCTCAATTTTGGATAATTCCCAGGTAGCTACACTGGTTGGGATCCAGATGAAAGATCTCAGAGAAGAGACCTCAGAATGCTGAGAGAAGGGGGCGGTGGTAGAGAAAGTGTAGTCTACACCCTGGGCCCATTCTCCCAACTCATATTCTCACTAGTAGGTTGGGTCCACAGAGGGACAGCTGACAAGTACTCTACTCTACAACAAATTGACCTACTCAGGTAAAAGTAGTCTTAGGTAAATTCTATAATCCTCAAGTGAAAGTTGGTTAGGGCATGGTGAATATCTCTGGTAAGGATCACATTTAAATACCAGAAAAGAATTCAAGGGATTCATACACCACTAAAGAGTCCAATGGAGACCCACAGGTAAGGTATACACATGTGGTCCAAGGGCTAAATTCCTAAGTACTGTTTACTGGGGGTCCTCTTCTCTCTTTGCGAATCCATTGGAAGTTCCCTCTAAGTATAACTTTCTCCTGGGCTTCCAGGGCTCATGGCTTTTTTTTTTGTTTTGTTCATTTTATTTTGTTTTGTTGTTTTTTGCTAGAGTCCTGAAACTGCCTTTCCTAGCTGTGTCTAGTTTCACCTTATGATTATCTCAGCCTCTGTTGTTCAAGGGATGTTTCAAAATTCCCCAGGTCAAAATTCACAAGATCATAACCTGCTCACTTCCATCTTGGAATAGTTGCATTTCTCAGGAGGTCCATTTGCTTTTTTATGTCTCTACTCCCAGCTGGTCCTTTCTAGTCTGGTCTCCCTAGTAGCATTGTCAATGGAGAAGAGTGAGAAGAAAGGCGGAGACAATCTCTCCTCCTCCCAAGAGCAATTCTCTCTCAGAGGCCTGGAATCCTCAGTCCCCTAATTTGGAGTCTTCTCCCACTCAATTGTCTGGTTCTGAACTAGCATTGTATTTTTGTATGTAGCCCAACAGACACGATCTCTTTCAACCAACCACAAGAACTTTCTTATGTGGTGTTATCTGTCTTTATCCAATGATCCAAAGCCCCTATGATTCTTTCAAATTGAATGTGGACTTATTAATACCTAATAATAATAATAATAATAGCTAACATTTGTATAGTGCCTACTATGTGTCACACACTGTGCTAAGCCCTTTATAATTATTATCTCATTTGATAACTACACCGTAACTCACCATAACTACTGGAGGGATGTGCTATTATTTTTCTTATTTTACAGATGAAGAAACTGAGGCAAACCAAGGTGAAGTGACTTGCCCAATGTCGCACAGCTAAGTAGCATCTGAGGCTGGATTTGAACTTGGGTCTTCCTGATTCCAAGACCAGTGTTCTATCTACTGTGCCACCTCATTGTATACCTGGTTTACTTTTGATCTGACTGATCAGTTCAATTGAGATGTCTTGGCCTCCTGTGATTAATTGGGATGGAGGTGGACTCCCCACCTTTACAGATATGCTAACAGGTTGAGTGAGGTTAAGAGATTTGCCTAAGATCACACTGCTAGTAAGTTTCTAAGGCAGGATTTGAACTCAAGTCTTCTTGACCCCAAGTCTAGTACTGTGTCCACTACTCTACCCAGTGCCAATTACTACAAAGATTAAGGGATTGGATCTGGTTGCCTTGCCCCTGCAATTACCAGTGATTTCTTAATTGCCAAATCTGACGGCCTTTTCTTAGTCCTAACCCTCCTCAACCTAACTGCTACATTTAATAACGCAGACCATTGTCTCTCTGGGCTTTCCTGATGTTGCTGTCTCCTTGTCTGACTTCTACCTGTCTGACCACTTCTTCTCAGCCTCCTTTGTTGACTCATCATCTACATGATGCCCCCTAATTTCATGTTCTCCAGGGTTCTGTCTTGGGTCTTTTTCTCTTCTCCCTTTTATATTCTCTTTCTTGGTAATTTCATTAGCTCCTATGGATTTAACTCTGTCTCTGCAGATGACTCCCAGATCTATAGATCTAGCCCTAGTCTCTTTCCTGCACCACCAATCATCTATTAGACATTTCAAATTGGATATCCCAGAGACATCTTAAACTTAATGTGTCTAAAATGGAACTCATTATCTTTCCCCTTAAATTCCTCCTCCTTCCAAACATTTCCATTGCTATTGAAGGCACAGCCATCCTTCCAGTGTCTTAGGTCCATATCCTGGGCTCCTCACTCTTCCTCACCCACATATCTAATCCTTGCTATTTCTGCCTTCATAGTGTCTCTTGTATCTGACCCCTTTATTCTATTCAAACAGCTACAGCCTTATTGGACGTTGTTTTTCAGTCACGTTCAGTCATTTCCAACTCTACGACCCATTTGGGGTTTTCTTGGCAAAGAAACCAGAGTGGCTTGCCATTTCCTTCTCCAGCTCATTTGACAGAAGAGGAAACTGAGGCAAACAGGGTTAAGTGACTTGCCCAGGGTCACACAGCTAGTAAGTATCTGAGGCCAGATTTGAACTCAGGAAGATGAGTCTTCCTGACCCAATGCCTGGCACTGTATCCACTGTGCCACTTAGCTTCATTGCAACAGCCCTCCTCACTGGTCTCCTTACTTCAGGTCTCCCTCAACTCCAACCCATCCTATACACTGCTGCCAAAGTAATCATCTTTAAGCACACATCTCATCATTTGATTAGCCTGCTCAACAGACTCAGTGGTTGCCTATATTGCCTCTAGAATAAAAGGGAAACTCCTCCGTTTAGTTTGGAAGCCCTATGCAACCTGAACTCAAGTATCTGCCCAACCTCATTGGGCATTGCTGCCCATATGCTTTGATCCAAACAATCTGGCCTTTTCTCCATTTCTCACAGATGCCATTCTATCTCCCATCTCCTTGGCTGCCTTTACGTGTCCCCTATGCCTGGGACATACTCTCTCCTTACCTCCACCTTACAGCATCTCTCTCTTCTTTTAAGATGCAGCTCAGGCACCATCTTTTGCGTGAAACCTTTCCATGAACCCAACTGCTAGTGCCCTCCTTCCCAAATGACCTCACATTTATCTACTTTGTATGTGGTGTGCTACCTATCTTTATTTTTATGAGTACTTTTTGTCTTCCCCGTTAGAATATAATATTGCAAGTAGGGATTGTTTCATTTTTTGTACTTGTATCTCCAGAGCTGAGCACAAGTAGCACATAGTAGGGGCTTAATAGTTTTTGGTTAGTTACTAAACTGACTAGGAGGGAGGTGGGATGGTCAGGGAGACTAGAACAAGATACAATTTGAACTCTCCTCCCCTCCCCTCCCCTCCTTTCTGTCCATTCCATTCCTGTCCTCTCTTCCCATCCAGTCTTCCCTTCCCTTCCCTTCCCTTCCCTTCCCTTCCCTTCCCTTCCCTTCCCTTCCCTTCCCTTCCCTTCCCTTCCCTTCCCTTCCCTTCCCTTCCCTTCCCTTCTCTTCCCTTCTTTGTCTCTCTGTCTGCCCATCCATCCATCCTTCCGTCTGTCTGTCTGTCTGTCTGTCTGTCTCTCTCTCTCTCCTGCTGTGATCCTGGACAAGTCATCACACCTCCTTTGGCCTCTGTGTCCTTATCTATAAAATAGAGTTGGTTGGCCTTTGTGGCCTTCGAAGTCTTTTCCAGCTTGAGGACTTGCCCTAAGTGACTTGCCCACAATCTGAGGGTAGATTTGAACTCAGGTCTTTCTGACGCTAAGATTAGCATTCTATCTGTTAGATACCATGAATCAAACTGAAACATTGGAATGGAATTAGATTTCTACTCCCACTTCCTTCATACTGCCCCCTTATTCTCCTCTCCCTAGGAGGCATCCTACTGGTACCTACTTGTATCTGTCTGCTTTGCTGATACCAGTAGCAGGCCCAAGTGAGGGAGGATGAGAGGGAGGAGTAAGAGGGCAACAAGGACCCCAGGAACCATGCCCACTCAGCAGTGTGTAGACCCTGGCTGGAGGGATTTCTTATGTGGCCAGTCAGACAGCCAGGCAGGGTGGAAGGAAAGGCTGGGGGAGGGACGAAGCAGACCTCCCAGAGCACCTGACCTCCTGCGAGGACTGTCGCTTATCTCCCCAGTTCATGAGCAGTGCTCACCCACCAGGCAGTGTCGGGGGTTGGGTGTTCTTTGCTTGGGGAGTGAGTGGAAGAAGTTGAAGGTGAGCCAGGGACAAGAGCCAGGAGCACCAGGAATGAGAGCCAGGGTCCTGAGGCCTCTGCTCCAGACACCATGGGAGACAGACCTTCTGACCAAAGTTAAGACAGGGGGGCAGGTTCAGTATCTCAGAAGCCAGAAAGGAATTCACTCAGAGATGTCACCCAGCCAAACCCCAATCTCCATCTACAACAGCTCTGCCCATCATCATCCAGAGCCTGCTAGAAAACCTTCATTCAGTGATGGGGAACTCACTCTCTGTCCAGGAAGCCCATCTCATTTGGGGGAGCTGTAGTTGTTAGGAAGCTTTTCCTTAGTTAGATCTAAACTCTGTCTTTCATAATTGCCCCTGATTTTGCTCTCTGAGGTCACACTGGACGGAACACACTTAGAACATAGAACTGAATCTTCTTTAGGCTGTGAGCTTCTTGAAAACAGGGACTGCCATTTGTTTTTCTTTGTATCCTATGTTTGCCTCAGTTTCCTTGACTCTAAAATGGAGATAATAATACTACCTACCTCCCAGGGTTGTTGTGAGGATCCAATGAAACAATATTTATAAAAGCACTTAGCACTAGCATCCCTCACCTTTGCCACATGACTAGCCTATCTTCTTTGTCTATTGTAAGGGAGCTGGTCCTGGAAAGCCCAAAACCTAATTGCAGAAAAGGATCTGATAATGAGATGTTCACCCAAATGCAAAAACTCAAGCACTTCAGGGGATCTTTTATGAGGTTCGAATAAGCCTCTTGAGTCTGAAGGGAGCAATGTCATTGGACAAACGGTGATTGGGCATGCCCAAGTGGGACTCTGAAAAGATACATCCAGTCAGAAGCTGTTGAAACAGGAACAAGCAGTCAAGGAAGAACCCAGCTCCTCATCTCTTGGAAGACAAGTGAATATGCACATCATTGCTCATAAAATGAGAACTAGCTCCATCTGAAAACTATTTTCAATCAATCAGTCAATAAGTATTTATTAAGTAGTTATTTGGTGACAGGAGCTGGAGATACAAATATCAAAGAATAAAACAATCTCTTTTCTCATTAAAATAATTTTTTTCAATCATCAAGCATTTGTTTTCCTTCCCACCTCTTCCCACTCACTAGAAGGAAAATTAGAAAGGAGGAAAGAAAGAAAGAAAAGAAGGGATGAGGAATACAGAAAAAGGGAAGAAGAAAAAAAGGAAGGAAGAAAATACCAAATCTCTGTATTCAAGGGTGTTTAGGTAAATGTCCAAGTTAGCTGTACAAAAGATCACTGAAGGGTGCTCAGCTATCTTTTTAAAAAAATACACAAATGTAATGTGTTGCCTGTAATGGCGTTGTCGGAGTTACATAAATGCATATCTTGCTCATTCTTTTCCATATTTATGGAGAAACAGGATCAATTAGTTAATTAACCAGCTTAAAGGATATAGTGTATGATCTGGCCACCAGATGGTGCTCAAGCTCCCTATGAATAGCTTAGTCCTCACGAAATTCCTTGGGCTCTGTCTTGAGCTGGCTCTCCCGACTCCCAAGCTGTGTAGTAGTCTAGAACTGCGATTTGGAATATATCCCATCCCCCTCAACTTAAAAAACAACAACAGGAAGCCCTTTTTATCTCTGCTCTTTAAGCCCCCCTCCCCAGACTGGATTCTTCTTTCCTCCTTCCCTCTTCATTCAATTTCCTAGAATTCTTAACATTTGTACTTTCTCTTGGTGCACTAATATTCCGTTAAACTAAAAAAATCATGATTCATTCAGTCATCCCCAATAACTTTCCCCCTCCCCCTTCCTTTAGTTTTTGCTACCACAAATTCACAATTCTCTCTTACATGGTCACAGGCCTTAATAAAACAATCCAGTAGCATAGGATTTCACAAAGAAAGCCCTAGGCTCTGTCCCACTTGGATTGATATCCCTTTCCCTCCACTCCTCCTCCCAATCAATAGCAACTGGACTTCAGACAGCTCTGGAGGAGGGAGTGAGGCTAGTGACTTTGCGCAGCCCTGGCTCACTTAAATCTGATTCACTTGCAAGTCAAGACATCCCCCTCTGATGTCGCTGGTTCAGTGAGAATGAAGGACGAACAACAGTAACAAAAGGTGAGGCATAAAAAGCAAAAGATATAGCAAGGTTATTTAGAGAACCCTCCGCACCAATCTGAGGGAACCGAGGCAGAGAAAGCGCTGGAGTTGGCTTCCACTCAAGGACATGCTGGTAAATGTTTAACAATCAGCTCTTTGGAGGGGGGGAGACATACTTTGAAGTTTATTCTGCATTATGTACGTTTTCTTCATCACTTTCTGAAGTCTAGACTATCGACAAAACACTAAATCAAACCCTGATTTGCAGCATTTGCACATTTCTGCGATCCATCTCCAGCACCCCGCTGGTCCCATTGTACCTCTCTGGGGTAGCTATACTTCCTGGGTTGGCAACTTTGTTTCACCCAGTTATTTTTGAATCCCATGGTTCCCACTCTATTCCTCTCCATCTGCTCCTGGGCATGTGGTCCCCATCGGGGACCACATAGGGCTCCTGGAATGACTTTCAGTCTCATTCCTGCTTTATTGCTATGGCGTGGTGTGCAGCAACCCTAAGCTCTGAACTGAGTTTGAATGGGCATGTCTTCTATCCCAAGCTCAAGAAAATTCTCAGCTTTCTAAGAAGAAAAGGAAAATGGAAATTGGAAACTGGAGGACTCTGGGAAATGTGTGTTCCACATATATTTCCTGGTTTACTTGAGCCTCACTATTATTGCTTTACTATAACCACTGCTGAAAAGTCCTGGCAAAGCTTGGTTACAATGGGAAAGAGCAATTAGATTGCTCTTCCTTTGGTCTTCTTGGATTGCTTTTGCTGGTCTTTGTTTTAGCTACTGTTTAGGTAGAAAAGCAAGAAACATTCAGAGTTTTTCAGACCTCAGACAAGTAAAGTGAGAGAGCTCCGAGAAAAATTGAGAGAGGTAGGCTGGGAATGGAGTGTCCTCATAGTATCTCACCAAGCCAGAAAAAGACAAGAAAAAAGATTGTACAAAATTAACTCCTCCTGGAACAAGAAGGAGAAATGAAAGAGAGAGTAAAGGAGAAGAAAGAAATGGTTTCTAATCTTCATTTTACACATATTTGCATGTATATATGTACATATAGTATGTATGTATGTATATATACACATGTGTATTTTATATATATATATATATTATATATATATATATATATATATATATATATATATTCAAGAAAAGTCAATGAACATAGTAAATGCCTGCTGTGTGCCAGATACTTTGCTAAACGTGGAGGATACAAATGTTGAAAAAGAAAGACAACTCTTTCACTCAAGGAATTTGCAACACAAAAGAAAGATGTAAAGGGGGAAGGGGGAGGTACCCTGTGTGGGCCTGTGGTGGAGAGGTCAAAGAAATCCAAAATAAGAGCAGCGAGTGGGAAATGAGGTAATGTCTGAGGAGATATAATTATGTTATGTTATGTTATATTGTATTTATTATATATCATATCATATTATATTATCTTACATTACATTATATTATATATCATGTCATATATCATATCATATCATATCATACATGTAACCTGGGTTTGTCTGAGCATGCCCAGTTTGCCCAACGTGGAGCCAGCTGTGTCCCTACCACATGGGTGGGCAGAGCCTCTTTTGATAGGCTGCTTGCTTCTTTAAAACTGGCAAAATTGATCCATTTGTCCTTTTTTCTACTATAATCTCTTCTCTGCTGTGTCCAGAGAGTGAAGATCTCAGTTCATTCACAGTCTGGGTACCATAAATTGAACAAATGAGAAGTAAAGGATTTTCCTTCCCATGCTCTCTCTCTCTTTTACTCAGTTCCAAGAAACAGACCTAGAGATGTTTATTTCTATCCTGTGTTTTCTGTCCTTAGTTTCAGGGGCTGGTGATGATCCTCATAAGACACAGGAGCTTGACTCATGATGACATTGGAGCCAGGATTGCAGGCAGGATGGTACAGGCAGCCAGCTTGGCATGGAAGCCCTAAGAAGCCAGGGATGTGAGACTAGTGCCCAAGCAGGGTTTTGGTCTTAGAACTGGGACTGTGCTCCATTGGCCTCGAGATAAACTATAAACCCATTCTCCTGCCCTTTCCCAGAAACTGAGATGGTTTAGGTGTGGAAGGAGGTTTATGCCTCCCACAGGTTGGGGAAATAAATTTGTATATTTGTGATTTTATCTTTTGAAATAATTTCTTTCTAATAAAAGCAAATCTGACTGTTAGTGGCCAATGAAACAAGGGTTCAGAGGACTATTCCCTCCAATAGGAAGAACACCTTTGATGGGGACTTAAGTCATTTGCAGAAAGCCATGACACTCCTCTATCCTTTTAAAATTATTTATTTATTTTAAGCTATACATGCACCATCATATTAAGTATATTTCCACATTAGTCATGTTGTGAAAGAAGAATCAGAACAAAAAGGAAAAAAAACATGAGAAAGAAGAAAAAAAGAGAAAATAGCATGCTTCTATCTGCGTGTACACTCCATAGTTCTTTCTCTGGATGTGGACAGCATATTCTGTCTTGAGTCTTTTGGAACTGTCTTAGATGATTGCATTGCTGAGAAGAGCTAAGTCTATCAGAGCTGGTCATTGCACAGTGTTGCTGTTGTGGTATGCAGTGTTCTCCTGGTTCTGCTCACTTCACTCAGCATCAGTTCATATAAGATTTTCCAGGTTTTTCTGAAATCCACCTGTTCACCATTTCTTATAGAACATTCAGAACACAATATCTTCCATTACATTCATATGCCAAGCCATCTATCCTCTTAAGGTACTGCAGAATCCTGGGGGCAGAGTGAAATCTAACTTACCTGGTTTTCAGGCAGTGAGGCCTGAGGTAGCTATGTTACATACACATATGTGCATATCAAATGTAACACTAGCTACTCTGGCCCCTTTTGCCTTAAGGCTGAGTATGATACATTTTAGCCACCTCCAGTATTCTCTGGCATCATTAAAGAAATCTGGGGATATCAAGGTTCTGTAAGTCAAGGGCTGTGGTTCCCTTCTTCCCCAGTTCCATTTAGCCATCAACAATCAGATTCGTTTTTACATAGAAATATTTACTTCAAAAGATATAATCACAAATATGCCAATGTACTCCCTCCACCATGTGGGAGGCATAATCCTCCTTTCCCCTTCCTCCTCCCCTATGCCACTCTCTATATCACTTTAAATTATTTTCAATCTATTCTGTATGTAGCTTGCCTTGTATATATTTGTTTGCATGTGGTCTCTTCCATTAGACCGTAAGCTCCTAGAAGGCAGGGACGGTCTTTTGTCTCTTTGTTGTATTTCCAGAACTTATCACAGTTTCTGGCACATAAGAGATGCTTAATCCATGTTGACTGATTGATTGATTGGCCATTAATTCTAAACTTCCACCCCAGATGGAACCTTCCCTCACAACAAAGAAACACAGCTAAGCAAAACAAATCAAAGTATGCACCATTCTGTATCTATAGTCAACCACCTTTGTGTCAAGTCAAAAAGCATTTGTTAAATTCCTACTGTGTGTCAGGTACTGCACCAAGTACTGGGGATACAAAGAAAGTCCAATGATAGTTCTTTTCATCAAGGAGCTCCCAGTCTAATGGGGGAGACAGAATGCAAACAGCTATGCACAAACAAGCTATGGATGGATAAATTGAGGATAATCTCAGAGGGAAGGCACCAGCATTAAAGGGGATCAGAAAAGACTTCTTGTAGGAGGAGGGATTTTAGTTGGGGCTGGACAGAGACCAAGACATTCAAGAAGAAGGTAACGGGCTTCACCAGTGGTTCGCTGGGGTCTTGAAAGCTTACTGCATTGATGAAAATGCTCACGTTTTTCAGTCTGATTTTCTTTATGTGACTGTGGTCATCATGCAAATGTTCTTTTGGTTCTGCTCACTTCACTTTGTATCATTTCAGTTCCAATGAGCCCTCTCAAGTTTTCCTGAATTATTCACATTTATATCTTCTCCTAGTGTAATAGTATCCCATCACATTCCTATGCCATAGTGTGTTTAACCATTCCCGTATCAATGGTACCCACTTTGTTTCCATTCTTTGCTACCACAAAAACTGCTGATAACTACATCTACCACACACACATATGTGTATATACACACATACACATGTATATGTATATATGTACTACATATGTGTTTGTGTTTCATATAGATAGATGTCTATCCTATATGTGTGTATATATCCTATATATGTGTTTGTGTTTCATATAGATATCTATCCTATGTGTGTGTGTGTATATATATATATATATATATATATATATATATATATATACTATATATGTGTTTGTGCTTCATCTATCCTATATACACATATGTATATATAATTTACATATGTGGGTATTTAGTACATAATATACATTAAGTGTATATATGCATATAAAGAACTGATGCTGTCTGAATACAGACTGAAGTATGCTATTTTTTACTTTCTGTCTTTCGTTCTTTTTTTTATTCGAGTCTTGTACAAAATAACTGATATGGAAATGTTTTACATGATTGCACATGTATAAACTACATTGAATTGCTTACTGTATCGGGGGGAGGGAGGGGAAGGAGAGAGAGGGATGGATAGAATTTGGAACTCAAAACTTAAAAAAATGTTAAAATTATTTTAATATGTAACTGGGGAAAAATAAAATATTAAAATAAAAAAACATAAAGGAAATATACACACATATATCAAGGAAAGGTTTTATATATAAAGTGTGTATTTTATATCATAGATATAATTTATATACATAAAGGATGCTACTATATGATATATGCATATACATGTGTGTATATACTTTCCTTCTTGGTTTGACTCCTTTAATGGTCTGTGCCTCTAAGCGGTATCACTGGGTGAAAGAATATGTATAGTTTAGTGACTTTTCTGCCAAAATGACCAATTTTTTCTAGAATGATTGGACCAAGACGAGATGCTGCTGGCAGAGCATTAGTATTCATCTTTCTGGAGCACTTTGAACATTCACCATTTTCAGTTTTCCTCGTCTTTGACAATAGGATGAGAGAGGTAGAAGCTCAGAGTTGTTTCCATGGACATTTCTTTAATTATTAGTGATTTGAAATATTCTTTCATAGAGTCATGGAAAGCTTGTATTTCCCTCTTTGAAAAGTATCATATTCATATCTTTTGATCACTTAACCACTTGGGAATAACTCATTGTAATACATTTATATCTATTTCCTACATATCTTGAATATTAACCTTTTATCAGAGATATTTGTTGTGAAGATTTTAAGCCTGGAGTCAGGAAGATTAATCTTCCTGAGTTCAAATCTGACCTGAGACACTTATTAGCTGTGTGACCCTGGGCAAGTCACTGTTTGCCTCAGTTTCCTCATCTGTAAAATGAGCTGTAGAAGGAAATGGCAAACCACTCCAGCATCTTTGACAAGAAAACTCCAAATAGGGTCACAAAGAGTCGTCCATGACTGAACAACAAATCTTCTTCAAGGACTATGTTCTGACAGGCTGGGAATTTGAGATTCATCTTGTAAGTTTCTTTTTCTTTTCTTCCCTCCTCCCTCTCCCCCCCATTTCCTCAATTGGAATACTACTGACTTTAAAGGACTAGAGGTAAACACTACCCAGAAGCCAATAGCAAGGTGCATGGTGGGTATGAGCAGGCCATGAAACATATAATCAACAAGGAACTCAGAAGAATGGGAACCAAGATGATGAATTGGTCATGTGTTGAGAGTGAGGGATAAGGGTAGCCTGCCACTGCTACCCTTGAGATTGAAACTGAGGCTTTTTATGGTGGTAGTGAGCTTCCTATCCTTAGTAAGTCAGTCAGTCAGTCAATAAACATATATTAAGCACCTACTATGGGCCAGGCACTGTGCTAAAGGCTGGAGCACTGTGAAAAGCAGCATATTAAAGTCATTTATGTATAAACTGAGTCACTATTCCTTTAGGATCAGATTACTACTTTACCTAGGTGTCAGATTAAACGACCTTCAAAGTCCTTTCCATGATTTTGAGTTCCTCTGTGTGGACAAAGACATTTGCTCAAGGTCACACAAAGAATTAGTCCCTGGGCTTCCCCAATCTTAGCTTGTGGGGTGTAGCCCCTGAGGACCCAACCTGTTTCCTTGAGATCTGAGGCAGAAGAAGGGAGTCATGGGTGGGTGGCCAGGCTGAGTCTATCAACTCATAGGAATTGATAATAGGTCCAGGCTGCTGCAGACCCACAAATAGGAGCCACATTCTTCCTGGACATAGGGCTTGTTGCCAGCACTCACTGGGTCAGGTTTCTTTATCAATCATTCCCATGACTGCAGCCCTAGAAGACAGACGGCTGTAGGACCCATGCACTCTTCTAAAGGATATAGATGTTTCCCAAGTACTTTTCTCCTAACAGCCAGGGAAAGGAAAATCATGCAAGTAGTATCATTTAGACATTATTGATGAGGAAACTGAGCCTGGGAAAGCTCAAGTGACTTGCTTGTTGTCACCCAGCTAGTAAGAGTTGGAGGCTTGGTCCAGGATGGGAACGCCCACCACCTGCCATCTTTATAACCTCTATCTTCCCAGGCAACTTCTCAGGCTGTTGTCTTTTCTCTCCTTCCCTAAAGCCAGATCCACCTTGGGGATCTTTCCTGCTTAACCTGTTGCCACATACTGTCCCCCTCCCCTCCCACTTGGAATAGAACCTCCTATAATGCACTTCCAGAGGCCAGGTGCTCCTCTACCAATGACGACAGTCTTACGCAAATGGACTTGAGCCCTGGGTTACATTCACCATCATTCTAGTAATCTAGTAGTAATCTACAGTTTTCAGGCTATGGATCCATGCCTTACCTGCACGCAGGACTGCTTGCAATCCTTCATTTTTAAAAAGTTGTTGGCATTGCCCCCACATCTGTAATAATTGAAGGCCTCACACTGTTTAGTTTTCCGGTTGTAGTAATACCGCCTGACACTTCTCTTGCACTTGCCTGTGTTAAGAGGTAGGTTGCAGACATCTGAAGGAAAGCCCCACCACCAGGAGACAGGAAACGCATCAGAGAATGTGACCATGAAAGACCACTAAGTTTGTCAGACCTTGAATAATGAACCCTAACCTAAATCTCTAGCCCACAAAAAATTCTATGTGATCTGAAAGTAACTCTATTAATTATGTAACCAATGGATTTTTATTAATTGTCTAC